TACACTCGTCCCTAACATAAACTCTTTTTTAAAGATTTTTTTTTATTGGAAAGGCAGATTTACAAAAAGAAGGAGAGGTAAAAAAGGTCTTCTGTCCGTTGGCTCATTCCCCAAGTAGCCACAATGCCAGAATTGAGCTGATCCAAAGCCGGACCTTCTTCCAGATCTGCCACACAGGTGCAGGGTCCCAAGGCTTTGGGCCTTCCTCTTCTGCTTCTCCAGGCCATAAGCAGGGAGCTCGGAGGAAGTGAAGCAGCTGGGGCATGAACCGGCATCCAGGGGATCCTGGCGGTTTTGCAAGGCGAGGATTTAGCCACTAGGTTTTCGCATGGGATCCAACATAACCTCTTGAAAACTAGTAGGAGCTTGGTTCAGAAAACTACCTTATTAACACAGGAACACACTCAATGTCCATTACATCAGCTCTATTCTAGCCAGGTGCCAAATTCTGCACAGCCAAAGCAGGTTTTACACACACATAAAGCCTGCACTCAATCACAATCACAGTAACAGCCCTCCAAACACACCCATACAGAAAACACTCCCATTCTTTCTAACCCACACGTGCACAGTCACCCCACACTGCTGCACAGGGTGCACAGCTCGGAGCCTGACTGCTTTGGCCTTGTTTACAAATCCAACACCTTCTACTCTGATTTTGATCGTGAACTGGACAAAGTTACTTCAATATACAGGGGGGCACTGGAAGGAAGCCCTGAGGTTTAAGCTATTTAGCAAGCTTCCTGTGAAAAATGCAATTGAAAGCTGGAAACAAAAGTGTTCAGGCTGCATGCCCCATTCTCGCTGTAAGGCTCTAAGAGTAAGCAGCTCTACAGGGGAAGAGGGGAAGTGGTTAAGTGTCAGCGTAGAATCAATGAATAGGTTCCAACCAAGCACACGTAACTGAAGACCCAGGGGGAGAACAAAGAGAATGAAACAGAAGAATATTTAAAGAAACATTAGCTAAAACTTTAACTAAAATCACAGTGACAAGAGATCTCAAAATCTCAAGAATAAAGAAAACTTTTCTGAAATCAAACATTACCAAAAGTGACAGGAATCAACAATAAGACTGACAGCTGACGCTGAAACAGTGCAACTAAAGCTACAACAGTCTCATAATATCTTCAAGGTGCTGAAAAAAATATCAAACTGCAATTTTACACTAGATAAAAAATAGCCAGCTACTATTGAAACGAGTTTACCCTATCCAACCATAACTCCAAAATTTTAAATGTCCTGTTTATTTTGAGATTATCCCATATGACATTACTTATGACTACGGAATTTATTTTATAACAGAAGTGAATCAATAGGATCATATCCATGAATTCACCATGTTTTGGGTATACTCCCAGAAGACAACTGATCATATGCAGATGAAAAGTTCTGAAACAGACACAATAAGGATTATCTAAGAGGAATAGTATGTGATATTGGTGATTATTCTGTATATTTGCTCTGAACAAAAGATCAGCACATGATGCTACATCTCCAAAATCTTATACATGGATTAGTTCAGGAACCAAGGGTAGGAGGAGGTCAGATTAGACATTCTCAGTGTTTCACCACAATTTCTGGTTTTCTGCATTAGAACTTCGGGTTCTTCTACAGACAGCAGTATTTGATAGGATGGAAATTCTTAATCTCTTTTTTCAATGGTTTTTGGTTCCGGTTAGAATATATCTTCCAAGGGTTCATGTGTTGGAAGCATGATTCTCAGTCTTACAATGACCAGAGCTGGTGAAATGCGTAGAAGACACATTGCGCTAGGTACTACTTAGGTCATTGGAGGTGCCACCCACAAAAAGGATTAACAGTTCTCACAGGATCCCAGTTACTTTCAATGACAGTAGATTCTTGTAACAGGGCAAAATCAGGGATGCAGTTGCGACAGAGCAGATTGAGCTGCTGCCTGCAACTCCAGCATTCCATCATAGAAGCTGATTCGACTTTCAGCCCTTCACTGCCAATCTGGCTCCCTACTAATGCGCCTGGAAAGGTGGCAGAAAATCACTCAAGTGCTTGGGCACTCACGTGGGAGACCTAGATGAATCTCCTGACTCGTACCTTTAGGTGGGCCCAACCCTGTACACTGTAGCCATTTGGGAAATAAGGCAGCAGGTGGAAGATCTCCTGCTCTTTCTGTCTCTCTGCTCTCCACCCTGGCCCTACCAATCTCTGTAAATTTGCCCCGCTTCCCATCCAGCTCCCTGCTTGTGGGCTGGGAAAGCAGTCGAGGATGGCCCAAAGCTTTGGGACCCTGCACCCGAGTGGGAGACCCAGAAGAAGCTCCTGGCTTCAGATCAACTCAGCTCCAGCCCTTGCAGCCACTTGAGAATCAGTGAATGGAAAAGATCGCTTTCTATCAATCTTTCTAAAAATAAAAAAAAAAACAAATCTTCAAAAAAAGAAACTGTTTGGAGGTAGTTATTACCAGTAATAATCAGAGCACTGAAATTTTTCTTAAAAGGAACTATCATGAAGTTAAAAAGAAAATGCTTTTCAAAGCGGGAACGATGGAACAGGTTGCAAGGGACGCACCGATGTGAGATTGTCCCCTCTTTTATGTTTTTAGCTTTGGAATCACAGAAGTGTTTTACATTAAAAAAAAAAATCAAATCTGGACCCAGTGCAGTAGCCTCGTGGTTAAAGTCCTTGTCTTGCAATGTGCCAGGATTCCATATGGGTGTGGGTTCAAATCCCAGCAGTCCTCTTACAAGGTGAAGACTTTAGCTGCTAGGCTCGCAAGTGATACCACACACCTGCCCTTGTATTGCCTTTCTGACTTGTATTCTTGGGTGCTTTCTGGTCTTGGGGGTATTGATTTGACTAGTCCGATTTTGTTGTTTATACCAGAGCTAACAACATAAATACATAAGCTACAGATGACATTTAATTTTTTAGGAGTCATATTCAAAAATACAATGAAATTAATTTTACTATATTTTAAATACAAAATATATCAGAACACAATGTATTGAATAAATATCTCTAAAACATTTTAATATGCACTTTGGGAAACTAAAGGACTTGATATCCTTTATAAAAACTGAGCTGCCAAACTAAGAGAGTTTTGTTTTACATTTAACTAATTTAACTTGGACTGACCACATTTGAAGTGTTTCCCACCTCAATTTTTAAAAAAAGATCTATTTATTTTTATTGGAAAGGCAGATATATAGGAGGAGAGACAGGGAGGAAGATCTTTTGTCCAATGATTCACACCCCAAGTGGCCACAACAGCCGGTGCTGAGCCAATCAGGAGCCTGGAACTCCTTCCAGGTCTCCCACACAGGTGCAGGGTCCCAAGGCTTTGGGCCATCCTCAACTGCTTTCCCAGGCCACAAGCAGGGAGCTGGATGGGAAGTGGCACCACTTGGATGAGAACAGGTGCCTATATGGGATCCCGGCATATTCAAGGTGAGGACTTTAGATGCTAAGCTACTGTGCTGAGCCCTCCTACTTCAATCTTTGTGGTCACCATGAGTACCATCTCTGACACTGCAAATCTTGTCCATTAATTTCCACATTTAGTTATAGGAAGCTTTCTTTATTCATTCTTTGAACACGAAGAGATTACTATCGGAAAGGTGCTGTACTAGATACAGAAATAAGACATGAAGTAGGAGGGTGCCTGGACCCCAATCTTAACTTTCTGAATACATTACAGTTTATTTCATATTCTAACTGTTGAGCTTTGGAAACATCCACAGGTTTGATATATAGGCACTTTCAAATAAGCCACACTTCAACTTGCTTGTACTTTTAAGTTTAATTTAATCCTTAAAAGATTATAGAAAATGCTTAAACATAAAAAACTCGTAAGAGAATAGCCAAAGTAAAACAAATAAAACCTACGCACCCATACTCAGTTTACCACAATTCTGCCAAACTTACCTTTCCCTTTGCTTTTGCATAAGCATTTAAGGATAATTTAGACATCATCTCTCCCATGTATAATATTCAGAATCTCTTCTAAAGACATTTTAAAAGCATACCATAATGCTACTATCAGACCCAACAGAAACTTTGTCTAACCCTATTAACATTCCTAATTTTCCAACTGTAAAAACACCTTACTTCACAATTTGTTCAACTTATAATCTAAGAATAGACTTTTCACTATAATCAATTGGACTTTTCACTATAATCAATTGATGTCTCTTAATCTTTTTCAATAGCTAAGTGTTCCACTCCCCTTGTTCAATGTCATTTTATTGGTTAAGAAACCATGTCATTCCTCTTGTAGAATTATCTACAATTTAGATGTAATTGCTTCTTTTATGCCATATGATTAGTTCTTCCATTCCCCAATTTTCTCTGAACTTGCTATTAGGTCCTGAGGCTTAAATTCTGGTTCAACATTTTTGGCAAGATCTGTATATCCTGAAACACACAGGAACGTTTTACTGTCCTACTTTTTGCAAGGTTAAGATGGATCAGTGTTCAGATGATTTGACTCTGATCAATAATTCATTATGAGAACCATGTGTAGATCTATTATTACACTACACACAATGATCTTAATAGAATTCTCTAATTCTACTTCTGCATTCATTAGCTAGAATCCTGTAATAAAGAAAAATTTTACCTCACCAACTTCTGGTTGTTCTGGAATACAGTATATATTGCAAATGCAGCCTACATGTCTTTTCTTTCCTTTTATTCATCAATTTTCAGGATGAGTTTTACCCTGGCAATCTCCATTAAATATAATGGATGGAAGATTATAATGATGACAATAGGTAAGACAAAAAAAATTTCCACATTCATTCCTTTAATAAACTTGCCTTCTAGAATGACTTCCTAAAGTTCAACATGGTATTGGCGACAGACTTCCAAATATTCATCAGCATATTCTTCTTTTAAATAAACCTCTTACGCTTAGTTTTGAGCATGAAGTAAGAGATTCCCACATTCTAAACTTTCCCTTCGGAATTTATTTTCTAATGTTCATTAACACAAAATTAACAGCAAGATTCTTATAATTAAGTTACATTATGAATCCGTTGATGATACGTAAGGTGTGAATGTTGTCTGAATGCCTTCTTACATTCCTTACATTTGTAGGGTTTCTCACCAGAATGAATTCTCTGATGCTGAGTAAGCGAAGAATGAAGTCTGAAAGCCTTTCCACATTCTTTACAGTCATAAGGTTTTTCACCGGTATGAATACTCTGATGTTGAGTAAGCTGTGAGAGCAACCTAAAAGTCTTCTCGCAATCCTTACACTGATAGGGTTTCTCACCAAAATGAATGCTCTGATGTTGAGTAAGTTGTGAGAATAGTCTAAATGCCTTCCCACACTCCTTACAATTATAAGGTTTCTCTCCAATATGAATGCCTTGGTGGGAAATGAGTTCTGAGTAACGACGAAAGAACTTCTGACACTCTTTACATTCGTAAGGTTTCTCACCAGTGTGAATTCTCTGATGGAGAGTTAGATGATAGCCACGACTGAAGGTCTTCCCACACTCCTTACAATCATAGGGCTTCTCACCAGTGTGAATTCTCTGATGGAGAGTCAGCTGCTGCCGCACTCTAAAGGCCTTTCCGCACTCTTTACAGTCAAACGGTTTTTCACCAGTATGAAGTTTGTGATGTACTCGAAGGCCTGTACTACACAGAAAAGCCTGCCCACATTCCTTACACTCATAGCGCCTTTCAGCTGTGTTGAGTCTCTGATGTCGGGTCAGGTGTGCATACTGCCGAAAGGTCTTCCCACATTCCTTGCATTCATAGGGTTTCTCACCAGTGTGAATCCTCTGATGAAGATTAAGTTGTCCTCGAACTCTGAAGGCTTTCCCACATTCCTTACATCCATAAGGTTTCTCACCCGTATGAACTCTCTGGTGTACTCGAAGGTCTGAGCTACATGTAAAAATCTTTCCGCATTTCTTACATTCATAGAGTTTGTCAGAAGCGTGAATTCTCTTGTGCCGGCTGAGGTGGGCACACTGCCTGAAGGCCTTCCCGCACTCTGTACACTGATAAGGTTTCTCACCCGTGTGAATTCTCTGATGAAAAGTAAGTTGCTGGCGGACTCTGAAAGCCTTTCCACATACCCCACATTCATAAGGTTTCTCTCTGTTATGATTTTTCTGATACAGAGTGAGAGAAGCTAGTTTTCTGTAAGTGGGTACTTTTTCAGGGGTGGTTTTTGTCACTTGCCTGAAACGTACCTTGTAAGGACCATCTTGTCCTTCAAACTTTTTATATGCATCATCGTTTCCAAGAAATCTGTCATCAAGACCACGACTTCTAATTTTTTCTATTATTTCCCACTGAGATAAACTCATTTCATATTTATCTTTTTCTTGAAATAACTTTTTAGTGTCATACCTGGATTCCAAATCTAAAAGAAAATAAGAAACACATGGTATATTATTATTCTAAAAACACAAGGAAGCAAATGAAAATCTGTTAATAGAAAAAAAAAAGCATAACATAAAATAAAGGCCACAGTGAGTTTAAAAATCTAAAACACTTATGATAGATATCACAAGAGGAATAAAAAAAAGATGAAAGATAATCAAATTACTGGATGCAAAAAAAGTTTGAGAGTCCCAACTCACGTTTTTAACTATAATAAAGTGCAAATGGCTTTGCACACTTTCTATTTACCATAAGCCATTAACTCCAGTCATTCTTTCCTTTGTTCCCCATTTGCCTCCTATTTGCCTTCCCTGGGCTCCTACTACACGTCATACGCTTGTTATAGCCATTCACTATTACATTCTCTAGTAATTCTATCTTGGGTTTACATGGTAGCTAGGTTTCTTTCACACATTACGCATCATCTTTCAACTTATAAAAAAAATTTTTTATTTGAAAGGCAGAGTTATACAGAAAGGAAGAGTTTCCATCTATTGGTTCATTCTCCGAATGACCACAACAGCTAGGGCCGGGCCAGGCAGAAGCCAGGATCCAGGAACCCTATTCCAACTTCCCACATGATGGAAGAGGCCCAACTACTGCGGCCGTCTTCTTTTGTCTTTTCAGCTAATTATCAGGGAGCAGGACTGGAAGCAGAGCAGCAGGGCCTCAAACGCTGCTCATGCAGAATGATGCTGCAGGTGGTGACTCAGTCCACTAGGCCACAGTGCCAGCCCCACATGTAATAGTACAATTAAGAAGAACTGCCCGCGCTAACTTTAATTTATGTCCTTTATTTTCTACACCAATAGCTTATGTTTGGCTACCCAACACTTTCCCCAATCTTGGTACTCACTAATTTCCTCATTTATTATTCTCTTTAAATGTTTGTGTTTTAAGATTTTATTTATTTATGAGAAAGGCAAATATAGAAAGATCTTCCATCTGCTGGTTCACTTCCCAACTGGCTGTAACAGGCAGAGCTGAGCTGGAACTGGGCTGATCTGAAGTCAGGAGCCAGGAACTTCTTCCAGGTCTCCCAAAGAGGTACAGGGTCCCAAGGCTTTGCCCCATCCTCTACTGCTTTCTCAGTCCACAAGCAGGGAGCTGGATGGAATCCCAGCTGATGCGAGGCGAGGATTTAGTCACTAGGCTATCACACTGGACCCTCATTATTCTATTTACTTCCCTAAAACTTCCTCAAATGCAGAAACAAATTTTCATTTACCACTTAGTAACAAATCAATAATAGTAATAATAATTAAATTTCTATAACTAATTAACAATTATTGGATATTTTCCCCTGACTCCAAGTATATCTTCTTCCATTGACTAAATATTCTTTTTTTTTCCCCCTACAGAAATATAAAGCAAGCACATCTCAGCTATGAGGCATATATGAATATAAATGGAAAGCAATTTATTTACAGTTAACCATTCTTCCAACTGTTTCTTCATTTACACACGCTGTATCTCCCCTCTTGCTCAATTGTTACTTTGCACTGTCATAACACAAATTTTGCTCTCGGCCTCATTTCAAAACCAAGGTAAAGAGCAATTCTATTTGAGAATAGAATTAGTCAGAACAACGGTTTAGTCAGTTATGCTGCAGCCTGCAATATCAGCCTCATATGTGTTAGGATCCCAGATGGGCATGTTCATGTCCTGGATGCGACATTTCCCATCCAGCTCCCTGCCTGTGGCTTGGGAAAGCAGTCAAGGATGCCACAAAAAGCCTTGGGACCCTGCACCCACGTGGCCGACCCAGAGGAAGCTCTTGGCTCCTGGACTCAGCCTTGGCCATTGTGGCCACTGGCGGAGTGAAACAGCGGATAGAAGATCTTTCTCTTCCTTTTGACTGTACATCTGTCTTTCCAACAAAAACAAATAAAACCTTGAATAAAAAAACAATCTGCAGGGGCCCAGGTAAAGAAAAAAAAATTTGTAAAATTAAGTTTATGTTACGCATGGCAATATATTATAGCTGTTGCAGGAATTGAGGCCCACATGGCTCTCTTTCTTGACCATCCTGTCTAAAGTTACCCCCACTCACTCACTCAGTATCATTCTTCATATCCTTGCCTTATTTGCTTTTTTTCATAACATTTAATCACTTCAGGATGTTTAGCAATCCATCTATTTGCTTACGTTTTTACTGTATGTCTCTCTACCATGTAAACCTCAGGGAAGCAATAAAGACAAAACCCATAAAAGTCAAAACAGAAAGGAGGAGTTCAGCATCTAAATTAAAGTTACAGGTGCAACGGTTATCACTGAGGAAGAAAGTTCTTCCCTGCGGAAATGGAATGAGGCTACCCATGCGAGAGAAGAAACAGGCGGTCCATGGAAGCACGACTAGGTTTTCATCTAGATGGAATCTCCCTGATGGCTCACACTGACAAGTTCTGTTTTCTTACCAAGTTTCAGGACTGTTCTACGTAACCAACTCTTAAGAAGTGTGTTCCTCCTCAACAAGCAGGTCAGTGCCCTGCCACTGGCTGGCCTCTGCTTGGTGGCAACTTACTCACCTAGGCGCCATCTTCTTTTCTCACCCCTCACAACCAGCCAGGGCTCCTTTCCCTGTTCCAGTAGAGTAATCACTTCTGGCTTAGAAACGGAACATCCTGTTTGAAAGGAAATAACAGAACATAAAAACGGAAGTACCTGATCATGTGTTTAGAACAAAAATAGCTATCAGGATTGAAAAACGCTACAGTCACTTTAAGATCACAATGAGAAATGAGATCAGGGCGGTAGGGACATGGTTTTTATTTTAATTGAAACTTATACAGGCTGCCTTTTGAGAGTGATATTTGAAGGCAGTGCTTTCAAATTCTGCCTGCTACTGAGTCACTAGTGCAAATTATTTAATCTCCCTGTGCTTCGATTTTCTTCATTGTAAAAGAGTGGATAATAGTATCATGTTATTATATACAGGATTGTTATATGGTTTAATTTAATATAAGTGTTTAGGACAAAGTAAGTACTATGTATTTTAGGTGCTATTTACAAATATTTTGTTCCGGAGAAAATAATAAGCTTGTTGCTAGGATATTCATTCAATGTTTAATGCAAAGTTCACATATTTTAAACTTTCAATCACAGAGCAGTGAAGAGATATTTGTAATAAGAAATTAAATAGGGCCTGGCAGAATAGCCTAGTGGCTAAATCCTTGTCTTGTATGTGCTTGTATGACGCTATATGGGCGCTGGTTCATGTCCTGGCTATTGCACTTCCATCCAGCTCCCTGCTCCAAGAGCTTCTCTGTGTCTCCCATGTGGAGGATCCCAAGGCTTTTGGGACATGCTCTACTGCTATCACACTGGGCCTTTTAGCTGGGTTTTAAACAAGAAGATCAGGAATTCAGTACAGTGAAGTCTCTAAATTACTTAATGCACATAATCTTACCCAGGGAGACCAAGTTGCTGTAGTTCTCTAATATTACATCTCTGTACAGATTCCTCTGGTTTGAGTTTAAGCATTCCCACTCTTCCTGAGAGAAGTCCACAGTCACATCTCTGAACATCACCAAATCCTGAAACGACAAACCCATGTATTGTTGGTAAGACCCAATCAACTGTTTTTAAAGTGGAAGGATTTTTCAATGAATAGGCTTAGCAGCCCACGATGAGGCTAAGTAGCAGTAGGAAAAAAATGTGCCTGAAACAATTATTATCTCTTTTTTCTTGAATATTTCTATTAATGTACTGTAAGGGGCCCGGAGCAGTAACCTATCAGCTAAAGTCTTCACCTTACACATGCCGGAATCCCATATGGGCGCCAGTTCTAATCCCAGTGGCCCTGCTTCCCATCCAGCTCCCTACTTGTGGTCTGGAAAGGCTGTCAAGGATGGCCCAAAGCCTTGGGACCCTGCAGACGTGTGGAAGACCTGGAGGAAGTTCCTATCTCCTGCTTTTGAATCGGTTCAGCTCTGGCCATTGTGGACACTTGGGGAGTCAATCAGCGGATGAAAGATCTCTCTGTATATCTGACTTTACAATTAAAAAAAATAATAAATCTTTAATGCACAGTAAGGTTTGGGAAATTATTTTGGTAAAGGGCAATCTCTTAGGCTTTGCATACCACAAATGGTACCTGTTGGATATTCTTCTCCATTTTTGGTCAAACACTTCTTTTACAATGCAGCCGGCTTATAGGATGTACAAAAATAAGCCATGGATTTAATCTGGCTTACAGTCCAAGTTCGTGGTATCTAAAGTTTGCCTACCTCTCCAACAACCAAAACTTCTCTCTTTTTCTTTTCTAAGATTTATTTATTTTTATTGAGAAGTCACATCAGATTTCTTAAGAGGAGAGACAGAAAGATCTGCTGGTTCACTCCCCAAACGACCACAATGGCCAGAGCTGAGCCGATCTGAACCCAGGAGCCAGGAGCTTCTTAACGGTCTCCCATGAGGGTACGGAGTCCCAAGCTTTTGGGCTGTCCTCTGCTGCTTTCCCAGGCCACAAGAAGGGAGCTGGAAGGGAAGTAGAGCAGCTGGGATACAAACTAGTACCCATATGGGATCCTGGCACAGGCAAGGAAAGGACTTTGGCCTCTAGACTATTGTGTCTGGCCCTATATTACCTAACTTATAAAATTGAAACATTAAACATGGTAGGTAGTTCAATTTAGATGTGTTGTAAATACAAAATACA